TAAGACTGTCTGTACGCTTGACAAAGTTGGCTGGCCACTTCTGCCCAACCTGGCCAGCGCCGCGCGCAGCCAGCAGCTTATCAGCCATATCGCGCACAGCAGCATACGTGGGCGCAAATCCACGTAGATCTAGATCAAGTATATGATCAACTATCACCTCCTCTTCTAGCTTAGTGAGCTTCTTTGAGTTAGGCTGGCAATCGCGTCGAGCAGGTATACCAGCGCGTCGGTGGCGGATTGTTCGTTTAGACACGTTGTAGACAGCAGCAGCGCGACAATTACTTTGTGTTTAATAGAGATTAATAGAAGAAATAGCAAGCTAAATATCTGCTTTATTCAAAGCTAATTGAGTAGCGCTACGTTGAGCCATTGTTCGTTGAGATAGGAGAGGTGCGCAGGTTTGGTGGGGTGCGGCGCTCGCTTACCTGCGGCGCTCGCTTGCCACATACGTTATACAATTGTAACATAAGAACCGCCGAAGCTGAACACGAGCAGTACTTTTCACTGTAACATTTCTGATTATCATCACACGGCTAGGATTTCCTATTATACATGCACAGATTGTTGCATATCTTTCGTAGCAATGATAATTAGCATAACTTCGATACACATTTCAAGATACGAATTCTCACTTACAGCAGCTATCCGTGCTTTATCAAGGAAAGCTGATCAGCAAAACATAACGTGCTTACTGTATGGAAGAGGACTAGCTTTCGTAACAACGTGGGCGCTAGCAAACCTACTCGCCCCACGTGATAGTAAGCGTGGCATACGATATTCCGAACGGCTTTTAGTAGTATGAATATCCCCAACTTGAAGTCTTGTTATCTTCTCTCTTTAATATGAGTGGTATAACGCTATTGATGCTTTCCCATGAGCTTACCAGCGTGTTAGACAATCGGCTTATCGATCGAGTCGTCGGATGGGCTTTTTAGCCGCATTCTGCAATGATATGACCGTGCCGGCGTCTAGGGCGTAAGCCACGGATACTTAGGCGAGGCAAAACACGCGCAAGTAGAAAATAGCAGACTCAACACTAGAAGCCCATGAGTACAGAGGGCGCCTCCTCGTTGGCCTTGGTATCACATCTCGACACAATGGACAAGAAGATATTCCAATGGGAGCGCACAATCGGCACGCACACGTACCTCATCTCGTCTGATCGGTTGCTTCTCCCGCATGCCTTTGTTCAAGAGGCTTTCGCCACGGAGGCCATGTTCTGGGCAAAGCCCATTTCGCCTGCAAGCCTATCGACCATGCTCGACAACAGCCTCACCCTGGGCCTCTTTTTGGTGTCGAATGGCGTCCAAACGCCCATGGGCATGGCGCGCATGATTACAGACTACGTGACGCTCGCGCACCTAACCGATGTCTACGTTGCGGCTGAACACCAAGGCCAAGGGGTGGGCAAGTGGCTCATTGCGTGCTGTCGCGAGATCTGCATCGACATGGAGAACCTCCGGTTCATGGTGCTGTTGACGGCCAGCGAGCAGGCACAGGCCTTGTATCGGAGAGAACTGGGCATGGCGAAGCTGAATGGCGTCGAGGTGGAGGGGCTGACGAGCATGGGGGCGCGCCGGGGGCAGCTCTGTCAGGCAGCGGGCTTGCCGTGATGTTGATGCACGACATAGCCGCCAACGGCATGGACATGGACATGGACAAGGCCGCGTGCATATGGATGGACAGATGGTGGATGGATGGTGGATGGATGGTGGATGGATGTGTGTATGTACCAAGGGCCCCACACTTGTCCGTAGTCGACTGTGGGCGGCGATCGAAGGCTGCGGTGGAAGAAGCGTGCAACGATGGTTGGGCCGCGGGCGGCGGCAGGCGACTAGTGCTGCATCAGGCCTAGCGCCGGGACAGTGCGGCCTAGCGCCTATGTCGCCATGGATTTTTTATCAACCACCGCAAATGAAGCTCCATTATCGCTGCGCCGCCGGCCTGCCTCTATGTCCCGACCACGCCTGTCATGAGGCGCCCTTTTGTCCGCCGCAAATGGCGGGTCGCGCGTCATGTCATCATCGACCCGGCCGAGGCCATCGCGAGCCTCACATCAATTGGCCCCCTTCGGCCCAGCGTCGTTTCTCCGACACGCGCTTTACACCTCGCCTCCGAGGCTGCCCGAGACCAACTAACTTGGATAGCAGGGCCCCGGTGATTATGATATACTTACACCAGCCGTCGACCCTGCGTCGGCCAGCATCTCGCGCAGTCCTCACATATTCCCAACCATGATGGCTGAAGGCCTCGCCAACACCCCCCCACCACGGCCCTCGTCGCCTGCTCCAGTATCCCTCAAGCGCAAACGCGCCGTCTCGGACACACAGCCACTGACCCCGCCATTGGCTGCACAGGACGCAAACGGAGCGCGTCTTCTTGCTCGCGCCGTCGACGTCCTCTCCACCGCTGCCACTGCCCTGTCACAAGTCACCTTTTTATATCAGTCTGACCACATAGCCCGCCATGGCCTACTCCAGGCTGTCGACGTCATTACCACCAACAGTGACGCCGGAGGCAAGCTCATAGTGTGCGGTGTGGGCAAAAGCGGGCTTGTAGGCCGCAAGATTGTCGCCACGATGAAAAGCCTGGGCATTGCGAGTTCCTTTCTGCATGCTGCTGAGGCTCTGCATGGCGATCTCGGCGACATCAGGAAGGTGGGATTTGGCCATCATTCTAAAGCGCCCGACCAGTACTGACTGACTCGTCACAGAATGACGCCGTCATGTTCATATCCTACTCTGGCAAGACAGCAGAGCTCATGGCTGTCCTGGACCATATCCCCTCTAACACACCCATCCTTGCCATTACATCACACACCAAACCTTCGGAATGCCCCATTCTCCAGAGTCGGCCACGCTCCATACTGCTACCCGCGCCTATACACGAGTTGGAAGAGGTGTCGTTTGGAGTTTGCGCACCGACTACGAGCACAACAGTGACCATTGCTGTCGGAGATATGCTTGCGCTGACTGTTGCTGAGGCGCTGCACCAAGACGATACCAAGGCCGTTTTCAAGCGGAATCACCCTGGTGGTGCAATTGGTGCAAAGTCGAGACGCTTAGAAGAGGGGGTCCAGCATGTCGATACCCAAGCTGGAAATTGTGGCGGACTCGTCACGCCACCATTATCCTGACCATTCTTCGGACGGCTTAATCATACCAATAACCGGTAACGGGCCCCAAAGTGCGTGGGCGCAACGTGAACGAATACGACTAATAGCGTGACTCCTTGATTGGAGCTTCTACATGAGCAAATATCTGGGTGTATTCCATCCCTTTATGCATGCACATGTTCACACGCTCCGGGGCGGTTACACCTGGACAAATGATTCAACTCATCCAGGCGCGTGCTCCCGGTTGCGCTCCCGTCTGCGTCGTATGCATACCTCGCTGCCTCTTCTTTTACATAAACTTGGCACAAACCGATGAACAGTTATGAACTGAGGCGTTATTGTTATTGTTCCATTAGAGTCTAGTGAGCTCGAGGCTATGTAAGACTTTGGCCGAGGCCGTTCTAACTAGATTTATTTACAAATACGAGTTTGTGCTTGAAGTGTGTCTGTGGTGCTTCGGCCTTTGTCTAGGTAAGCGATAGCTATCGCTTACTAGACGCCTAGTGCTAAAGAGCATTTTGATAACAGAAAGAGATGTTAGAAAGCAAAGCAATCCTCCAGCGGCTCTTTT